TGTTCTAGCATTACCAATATAATAATCTCTCTTTGAATGAAATCAAACTTACAGTACATGTCAATTGGAGTCTACTTTTGTTCCCATTTAGAAGGTGTATTCCATGTAATACACTCACATGTATAGAATTCATGTAGAGGCATGGAATCAGCTCTTACTCTTCTGTAAGCGAAGAAATACTTATCACAGTAACTATTCCAGGGTGGAGGTGTCCGTGGTTGACTCCTTTTTGTTCTCCAAGAGGCCATTTTCAATTTTGTTTGGTGATCAATGAACAGGATGCTATTGAAGCCCATGAAATGATGGGTAGAATAAAAACACTGACACTTGCACTTGATTTCATAATTTATGCCATAGGCCAGTGGTCGGCAAACTCATTAGTCAACAGAGCCAAATATCAATTGTACAACGATTGAAATTTCTTTTGAGAGCCAAATTTTTTAAACTTAAACTATATAGGTAGGTACATTGTTATTAACTTAATTAGGATACTCCTAAGCTGGCCTTTGCTAAAAACGTCCTCAATCTGATTGAGGTACGTTCGCTGAGGTCAACCACTTCCAACTCTCCCATCCACACTCATCTTGTAGACTTGTTTCAGGTAGACGAGTGTGGATGGGAGAGTTGGAAGGAGTCGACCTCAGCGAACATACCTGAAAACAGTGTACCTTCCCCGTGCTGCATATCCGGCGGCCCGCCTGAGCCGTGTCTCCCCTTGCCTGACTGACTGACCGACCGACATCCCCCACTTCTTCTAATGCCACTTCTTCAAAATAGACTCGCCCAGGCTGAAAACCGACTTGTGCGCGCGGGCCACAAAGTTTCAATCGCACTGTATGTGCGCACCCACACATGGTATTTTGTGGAAGAGCCACACTCAAGGGGCCAAAGAGCCGCATGTGGCTCACGAGCTGCGGTTTGCCGACCACTGCCATAGGCCATTAGGGCTGCATTAGACATTGGAGAATTAACTCAGCCCCTCACTTTATGTTGTTGAGTACTAATGAAGTCACAATAACTTTCTAAAAACATTACCCTGAGTACACAATGCTTTTCAGATCCAACACAAAAAAAGTTTTTCCAATAATACCTTGGGATTCATTCATTTAGAAACTATTTATTAAATGTCTATATGTACAAGGCCAGGGAAGACATTAGGGAGGTCTTATGCATTCATGGATTTGCATTCTGGTAGAAGAAAATAAAAAGCATTAAATGCGTAGGAATTATTTTTAAAAGCATCATGTGGGAGCCAGGGCCAACCCTCCCTCTATGGATAAACATAAAAAAAAAACACCCTATCTTCCCTCATTAGCACTGAGATGGTTTAATAGAATAAATTGCAATGATAGTGCTGTTGCATATATCTGCTATAGTTTTGATAGGTTAACTGAGAGCTATGGCTCCCATTTTCTCACAGGAAAACTGATAGAAATATTAAATATTCTTTGAGGATTGACACCTTTTGGAGGAAGCAGAGTGTTAGATTAAAGTGTGTGTTAGAGCTCAGCCAGTGTGACTCAGTGGTTGAGTGTCCACTTACGAGCCAGGAGGTCATGGTTGGGTTTGATTCCTGGTCAGGGCACATGCCTGGGTAGCCGGCTAGGTGTGTAGGAGGCAGCCGATCAAAGCAATGATTCTCTCTCATCATTGCTGTTTCTATCTCTCTCTACCTCTTCCTTCCCCTCTGAAATCAAATATCTACACTAATAAAAGAGAAACATGGTAATTGGCGTACAGCCACTACCCTTCCCATTGGCTAATCCCCCTGTCACTCACAGAGTAGGGCCGAGATATGCAAATTAACTGGCAGCCAAGATGGTGGCCGGCAGCCAGGCAGCTGATGCGAACAGGGAGGCTTGCTTGCTTCAGTGACGGAGAACTCCAATGGTTCCCCGCCTGACTTGCCGGCCTCTCAGCTGCAACTTTAAGCAACTATGTTGCAAATAAAGAAGCTAAAAAAACCCCAGGAACCTGCTTTACTCAGCAGAGCTTCAGCCAGCCGGACCACAACATTGTATCAAATACAGACGGTAAACAAAGGCCAGAAACCTGTTTTCAGCAGCCGAGGCCTCAGAGCTAAAGCTGGCCCAGAATAAAAAAAGAAAAAAAGGAGCGGTTGGGAGCTTCAGTCCCAGCCTGAAAACAGCCCTCAGCCCCTCAGCCAGACTGGCCAGGCACCCCAGTGGGGACCCCACCCTGAAGGGTGTGTGACCAGCTGCAAACAGCCATCATCCCCTCACCCAGACTGGCCAGGCACCCCAGTGGGGACCCCCACCCTGATCCAGGACACCCTTCAGGGCAAACCAGCCAGCCCCACCCGTGCACCAGGCCTCTATCTTATATAGTAAAAGGGTAATATGCCTCCCAGCACCGGGATCAGCATGACAGGGGGCAGCGCCCAAACCCCCTGATTGCCCTGCAGCTCTGCGTGTAACAGGGGGCGGGGCCCCAACCCCCCCGCCCCCCACGGGCCCTGCTCTGTGTGTGACGGGGTAGAGCCATAACCTCCCCATTGGCCCTGCCCTGAGTATGAGAGTGGCGGCGCCCCAACCCCCTGATCGGCCCTGCTCTGTGGGTGTTAGAGGGCAGTGCTCCAACCCCCCCCCCCCACGGGCCCTGCTCTGTGTGTGATGGGGTAGAGCCATAACCTCCCCATCTGCCCTGCCCTGAGTGTGACAGGGGGCGGTGCCCCAACCCCCCTATCGGCCCTACTCTGTGAGTGACAGGGGGGAGCTCCCCAACCCCCTGATTGACCCTGCTCTGTGCATGACAGGGTATGGAGCCCCAACCCCCCTGATTGGCCCTGCTCTGTGCATGACAGGGGGTGGCGCCGCAACCTCCCCATCGACCCTGCCTTGAGTGTGACAGGGGACGGTGCCCCAACCCCCCAATCGGCCCTACCCTGAGCGTGACTGAGGGTAGCATCACAACCTCCCAATCTGCCCTGCTCTGTGCATGACAGGGGAAGGTGCCCCAACTCCCCAATCGGCCCTGCTCTGAGCCCAACCAGGGGCTGCACCTAGGGATTGGGCCTGCCTTCTGCCACCCGGGAGCAGGCCTAAGCCAGCAGGTCGTTATCTCCCGAGGGGTCCCAGACTGCGAGAGGGCACAGGCCGGTCTGAGGGACCCCCCCTTCCCCCGAGTGCACAAATTTTTGTGCACCGGGCCTCTAGTCTATATAATAAAGAGCCAGGGTCATAAGGACCAAAGGCTCGACCAGACCAGAAGTCAGTGCTGGTAGAAGACATTGACTGGGGTGTCTGCAGGCACCCCGACCCAGCACTGACTGCCTAGGGGGCTGCGGATCAGGTCCACAGAGAGGCCTGCAGAGAGAGAGGCAGGGTCTGATCCGTAGCCTCTGTGGCAGAAGTTTATCAGAACTTGCTTCTCTTTCTCTCCCTGTGCCTCCATTTCTCTCCAGGCCTCCACTGGGGCTGTAGCCCTGCCTTTCTGATCAGGCCCCGTTGATAGGCCCAGAGATGCTGACTGACAGAGAAACTGACCAATCAGAACCAAATTGGCCAGCTGAGGAGGGCAGTTGGGGGTGAGATCAGGCCTGCAGGGGAGGGCAGTTGGCAACCAGGCTGGCAGGGGAGGGAAGTTGGGGGTGAGGTTAGGCTGGCAAGGGAGAGCAGTTAGGAGTGATCAGGCAGGTAGAGAGGTTAGGGGCGATCAGGCAGGCAGGAAGAGGGGTTAGGGGAAATCAGGCAGGCAGGCAGGTGAGTGGTTAGAAGCCAGCAGTCCCAGATTGGCAGTAGGACACCCCCCGAGGGGCCCCTGATTGGAGTGGGTGCAGGCTGGACTGAGGGAACTCCCACTCCATGCATGAATTTTGTGCACTGGGCCTCTAGTATATATTATACTTATGTGTGTTATAAGTATGGGTCCCAGTCTAACTTTCTGATTTCATGTAAAAATCAGAAGAGAAGAGACACCTCCCAGAGAAGCTGAAAGTTCTTTCAACAAAGAACCTCTGAGCACTGACAGTGTGTATGAAACTGTGGATACTTACAATTTGCCAAGAGAACTCAAACAGCATTTGGAATGCTGGGGCTTTGAGCACGGAGGTGGAATGCTTACATAATCATTCTGCCCAAGGATGGCTGAAGTAGAAGGAAACAGATGGCTAGAGTGGGGGGCAGGAGGGCAGTGCTGAGTTGGAACCAACAAACTCCCCGTGTCCACCATGGCCTCTGGAGACAGGAGCGTCCTCCCAGGGGTCCGGGGCCTGCATGGGTGGGGCCGGTGGGGCAAGTCCCACCATCACCACTGCCCTGGCACAGTCTCACCTCCTCTGACTGCACCTCACTTCTGGAGTCAGAGCAGCTCGCATGTGTCATCAAAGCCCCAGAAGGGGAGACTCCACCAAACCACGCCCTCTCTCTCATCCCCTCCTGCTGAAAACTGTAATCTTGCAGGCAGACAATGAAGATAGGACAACTATTCAGAAAAGCTCGTGGCTTTGGAGACTCAGGACATGTCCCAACTGCACCTGCAGGTTTTCTTTTCCTGGGCCGATGGGCACTGGCTGCGCTGCACCTGCCGCAGGCCAGCGCCTTGCCTTTCAGTCACATACCTGGAGCTGGGCGTGCAGGCCCTGGCCTGCTCCACATCCTGCTCTGCCCGTGATGATATCTTCTGCACCCCACTAGCTTCTCAGCAGGCCTGCACAGCCAGGCGGCTGCTCTTACCTCTGCCATTTGATTTTCTGTAATTATGTGGCTATAAAAAGAGAGAGAAGCCCCAGCTTCGTTTCCTCTTGCTCCCTGCTACAGTCCATGATAAGACCTGGCTTTCCTTTATCCAATCTGATGCCTGTCGATTTCTTTCCTTATTTTCCTTACGGTTTTTAAAGAAGCACACAGATCTGGTATATATGGGCTCAAGTTGTGTGACATCTTGGATGAAAATGAAACCAATCATTTGTGGAAATAGTGGCTAGGTCTTTTCTACCAAAAGCAACATGAACTTTTCGTAAAAACCAGTGCTATTGACTGTTTTACCTTGAACATTTTAATGATATTTTCCAAGCTCTAAATGACATTTACAGGGATGTTTGTTCCGAAAGACAAGAGAGATACACTAAGAAAGAAGTAGCAGTACAAAACTCATAAGCAGTGAGCACACATGACAGGAGCAGGGGGTGTCTTCTCATGGTCTGCCTCCTTTGAGCTCTGTCAACAAGGGTTTCATATTGCTACTGTGATCTGTTGTTCAGTGCTGTAACAATGAGAAGATATTGCTATTAATGATGAAGCACTTTAATGCCACTAACTTATCTGACCAAAACAGTGATTGAAATACTCAGAGACGAAGTTTAACATCTTACTTCCTGCTTTTTCACTGGAACTTTTTACTTAGGCATTTGTCTGTGCTTCAAACTCTGTTTTGTGCAGGCCTGAAGGAAAGCTGTCCCCGCAGGGATGCTTGGCAGTTGGCCACTGTCAGTGGAGGTTGGTGGTGCAGGGAGGGAGTGCACTTCAGGTGAAGGGGGAGGGAGCAGAGCCCATAAGAGCCTGTTTATTCAAATACCCTTTCTCCTGACAACCTCTCACCCAGGGATGTGTGTGTGTGTGTGTGTGTGTGTGTGTGTGTGTGTGTGTGGCTGGGCCACATAACAGGGGCAGTGTAGGCTCACCAGGCAGGAAGAGGTGAAAATAAACAAGAAAATGTGTATCTTAGGGGAAGAGATATTTTCTTTAGAGATTAAATCAAGGCATGGGTACACAGCAAGCCACCAATTACTGAGGATGAGGGCCATACTGTTCAGAACCCAAAGGATGCCAGTGATTGTGTGGGTATAATGACATGCCACTGGGGTTTCTGGCATGGCTTCGGTACTCGCCGTGTTGCTCCTGAAGTTTCTGTGACTGTGCCCATGTATGTGAATGCATGTGTGAATGAGAGGCTGCTAGGAACACCTCATTTTCATGTGAATATTGGGGTAAAATCTCTTTTAAATATTCGATTTACTGGCAGGCCCTTATAACATTATCAGTTCCATTCCTCCCCAGTGTGTAAGCTCATGGTCTCCTCAGCCATGCAGGTCTGCTGCTTCCTTCGGCCGTCTTCACATATTCTAATGAGGAAAATGAGGCATCCTATTGGTGGACTTCCAGTCTAGCAAGACCTTTCCTTATTAGGTTTTCCCGATTATTTCACCAAATTATTTCTGGCTGCAATAAAGACCATTTCCAATTTTCAAATTTGTTTTTCCTTTGGGTGTGGCTACATTAGGTTAACATTTAAATGAAAACAGCTCCCCATTTGTTGTTGTTGTTGTTGATCATTGTTCTTTTAGGACTGAGGCCAATTAAATCAAACCCGAGTTTTCATTTCTTCAGACCAATTAAGTGATTTCTTTAGCAATGTGTGATGTATGTAAAGTTTGTGCTGCTCTCAGAGAGTCCGGGCTGGTTGGTCTGCAGAACGTCTCAAGTCGAATTTCTCACAAACACGTGTCACTGTAGGACCCAGTGAAATGGGGGCTCCAACCCAGCAGGGCTGGTGGGGCTCGAGACTCCGCATTCTAAGCAGCGCCCCCTGGGCTGGTACTGCTCTCCAGGCAGGGCAGTGCTGCAGCTGCTCCGCGGCCAAATAAGCCATCAGTCCGTCTGGGTTTGCCTTCTAGAGAAGGGAACTAATTCTCTGTTGAAGCATGGAGCCTCCATACAGTGTCCCCCTATCCTGAAGATGAGGTGGACACTGTGCTCTCCTATCACGCCTGACCACCTCCACCAGCTACTTGTCATTGATGTCACAATCCGAAGGAAAGGATGAACCCCAATCAGGTAAACCCACTCCCGACAGCTTTCTTATCCTCCCCCCACCCAGGTTCATCCAGCTGGGCCATGTGCCATTGGAATGGGATGCCCTGGGACACCACTGTGATTAAGGTGGCCCCTTCCTGCTCCCTACAGAGCCCTAAGCCTGCTTTGTTTATTATTATTCCTGGAGCCTGTGCTTAGCTGTTTCCCGCCCCTGTCCATCAGGACTGGTGTTTTCCTAAAATGCATCGCATTGTTGTTTTGCTGTCCTATGCACCTGGCAATTCCTAGATAAGGGTGAGGCTCATGCTGTTCTGCCTCTTTTCGCACCATTTCATCCTCATCCCTCTTGCTTCTCCTCTTCTTTCCTCTCTTGACCAATTTCCCTCTTTATTTCCCTCACATTCATCCAGCTTGAGGTTGTCCAGGAAAGGACAGCTGTGGGTGCTTCTCTATGGGCTCCTAGAGTGATTACAGTTGTAGTCCCTATCGTAGCAGGACTTTCATTGTTTATTTTTCAAGGTTATGGTTTCTTCTAGAGAAAAAATTAAGGAATCAACCTAGGAGGACCAGGTGGAGTTTGCGTGGCCTAGTTGTCTCAGCTGTTGGCTTGAGCCAGCCAGTTTGCTCACTGCACCTGCAGCCTTCATTATGGAAGAGTTACTTCACCAGTTGACCTTAAGGACCCAGTCAGTGTTCAGGAGCAGCCTTCGGCCTGAAAGATGTAGGCAAAGTCCCCAGAGTCATATATCTATTGCCTGTGATCCCCAGACTGTGTCCAGCTCACCTTTATTATCTGAGCCCTAATTGGGGTCTATAGCTTCTGTGAAGTGATTAGAAATGATCAACAAAGCAAGAGATCCTCTCCTTCAGGCAGGAGTAGAAGCTGAAACTATGCGCACATGTCTAGAGACTCATCTGCAAAACTGCAAGTAAGTGCAAAACAGGTGGGACTGAGGAGTTAAGACAAGAGTGTCAGAGCGGGAAAGTCCCACTGGGTGTAAATTTGAGTTCATGTGGGGACACACACACACACACACACACACACACACACTTAAATTAAGACCAGACCAAAAAATGCTTTAAAACTCACGTAGCAGTAGATCACCATTGAGTGGTTAGGGATAGATCTAGGAAAGGATTCCTTCAAAGTAGCCCGTGCTCTTCCATCACACTTTTTGTAAGGAGAAGGCCCTAGATGCTCAACCAATCGGGATTTCCATCTGATCAAGAGTCAGCAGCCTGTGAAAGCAGAGCATTCATTCCTAGCTATTCCTCGCTGAGCATTTTTGCAGGGAAGGTGTTTTGCCTGGTCTAATGAGGACTCTGAGTCATCTCCTCCCGGCAGCTGAACTGCACCTGTCTTGGCTCCTTCCAGGCATACCCGCGTAGGACGCTGATCCTTGGAGGCGTTCCAGCTCTGCTCAGGAATGGCAGCAGACCGGCTGCCAGTGGCACGGAGTGCTGTCTGAATGCTGCAAGGGAGCATGATATCCCAGCTCTTCTTGAGAAGGCGACACTGAATAAGAAAACAGGTCCAAAATCCAGAAAGGTAGCCAAAACACACAAACCTTTACAGAGTTAATCAGCTGCCTGTCATAATTATAAGAGCTCAGACCCCATTCTATGTGCTTACGATATCTATTCGCTTAAGTCTTCACAACCTTATGCGGTAGATATGCTGATGACCCCCACCGTGCAGAGGCACAGAGTGGTCAAGGCACCTGTCTGGCGCCACACAGGCAGGTGGTGAGACCAGAGCACCAGTCCCACCTGGCTGCAGAGCCCACCTTTCACCCTGGCCATGCTGCCTCTCCAGTGCAAAGGCTTATGGGGGTGCTGTGTGCGCATGGCTTCTGAGGAAGGGCATCCCTTTCCCGGCATGGTGCTAAGGAGTTCTTGCTCAATAAACTTTCCAGAATATGCATGCACTTGACAGTGATGGGTGTAGCTCTGAGGGCTGGGGTTGGACAAAGCAAAAGTCTTGGGGGCCCTCCAGCTCAGAAAGGCAGTGGTAGCCTTGCTGAGGCACAGGGGCAAGGGGGACTGGGGGTCAAGGGCTGCCCCTACCCACCTGGAGCTGGGAGACAAAAGAATTTCACCACCACTGGTTTCTTCTGTTCAAGGAACAAAAAGACTCAACACCCCCCACTCTCTCTGGGTTTTGGGGTCCCGCCTTAAATTGTTCTATATTATGATTTTATACTATAACTTTTGAAACCCCAAACCCCAGCACCCCGCAACACAGGGCCCTCCCCTTTCAGTATTTGAAGGGATTTAATATCCTTGCATTCTTCTCCATGAATCAACAGGTCCTGACAGGGCATGTGGTTGGAGCAGCCGCCTGCGTGCCTCGGGCAGACTGAAGCAGGCCAAGAATGAAAGGGGGCGGCACAGGGCGGCCAGCATCCAGTCACCTGAGAAAGAAGGAATTCAACCTGGAATAATCCCTCACACTCTTCACATGGGTGCATCTCTCGCCACCCCACCCAGATGCTCTCTGCCCTCCAGGAGCTCCAAAGGCCTAAAGGTCAGAGGAAAGATCCAAGCAAATATGTAGAGCCACCCCCAGCAAGTGGCTTCACGGGGCATCTGGACCTGGTGATAAGCTTGGACAGCCACCTCTTCTCTCGTTCTGGTAGCTTCCTCTGTCTAGTCCTCAGCTCTCCCTCCACACATCCTTTTCCTTTGGCTTCTCACCAGATGTAGTTGTCTGGGCTGTGCCATCACCTCATTGCCTTGGGTTACTGTTTTGAAGGGGTCAGATTATTCTTGCTGTCTTCTTTAATGTTTGTTTTGGACCGTTCTTCATGACCTAGCACTTCCTTTTCTGCCTCACTAGATCTTTTCCTCGTGTCACCATCAGTCATAGCACAGTCCCTCACCCTCAGGTCCCTTCTTCCCTTGACCACAGCCATTGCCCTAGCAACTACTATAACCCTGAGTTAAATTTATAAAATAGAAAATTTCATCGTTCCCATATCCTGATCCCTCCATTCTCTAATAGTCTTTTTCTGAATGAGGGGGTGAGGGAAGGCAGGAAGTCCCCTTGGCCGAGTATTGGGAGCTTGGAAAAGACACATGGGTCTCTTTCTCCTGTTTCTAGCTGAACATGATAGTTGTTTAGTTAAAAACTTCCTCTGATTACAGGTCATGAGAGGGACTAAGAGGCCCTTTATCAAAGAACCTCTGAGCACTGACAGTGTGTATGAAACTGTGGGTACCTAGGATGTGCCAAGAGAACTCAAACAGCATTTGGAATTCTGGGGCTTTTGAGCACGGAGGTGGAATGCTTACATAATCATTCTGCCCAAGGATGGCTGAAGTAGAAGGAAGCAGATGGCCAGAGTGGGGGGCAGGAGGGCAGAGCTGAGTTGGAACCAACAAACTCCCCGTGTCCACCATGGCCTCTGGAGACAGGAGCGTCCTCCCAGGGGTCCGGGGCCTGCATGGGTGGGGCCGGTGGGGCAAGTCCCACCATCACCACTGCCCTGGCACAGTCTCACCTCCTCTGACTGCACCTCACTTCTGGAGTCAGAGCAGCTCGCATGTGTCATCAAAGCCCCAGAAGGGGAGACTCCACCAAACCACGCCCTCTCTCTCATCCCCTCCTGCTGAAAACTGTAATCTTGCAGGCAGACAATGAAGATAGGACAACTATTCAGAAAAGCTCGTGGCTTTGGAGACTCAGGACATGTCCCAACTGCACCTGCAGGTTTTCTTTTCCTGGGCCGATGGGCACTGGCTGCGCTGCACCTGCCGCAGGCCAGCGCCTTGCCTTTCAGTCACATACCTGGAGCTGGGCGTGCAGGCCCTGGCCTGCTCCACATCCTGCTCTGCCCGTGATGATATCTTCTGCACCCCACTAGCTTCTCAGCAGGCCTGCACAGCCGGGTGGCTGCTCTTAAATCCACCATTTGGTTTTCTGTAATTATATGTAAAGGGAGAGAAAAGCACGCCACCCTTATCTCACCTACTTAGCTGTTTTCTTTTCTTCTTCTTCTTCTTCGTTTTTTTAAGTGTTTTTACTGATGAGAGAGAGAGAGAGAGAGAGAGAGAGAGAGAGAGAGAGAGAGAGAGAGAGAAACATAGATGAGAGAGAAATATCAATCCATTGCCTGTTGCCTGCCCCCTACTGGAGATGAAGCCTGAAACCTGGGCATGTGTCCTGACTTGGATTTGAACTGGTGACCTCTAAGGGCATGGGAAGATGCTCAGCTAACTGAGCCACACTGGACACAGCTTAGCTGTTTGCTTTTTAAAAATTCATGCCATAAAACTTTGCCCCTACTCAGTTAATCTTTTTCTTTATTTCACATCCTCTTGACCTCCTTTTCTCTCCTGGTTCTCCTTTTCCTCCTCTTCTACCCACTTCCCTCCTCCTCCTCTTCCTCCTCCTCCCCCTCCTCCTCCTCCTCCTCCTCCTCCTCCTCCTCCTCCTCCTCCTCCTCCTCCTTCTCCTCCTCCTCCTCCTCTTCTTCCTCCTCCTCTTCCTCCTCCTTCTCTCCTTCCTCCTCCCCACTCAAGACAACAGCACATCTGATATCTTAGATTGTGTGCTCCTTGCATGGAGAGATTATGTCTTCTTCTGCATATTGCTCTTGTCATTTACTGTACAGCCTGCAGATGTTGGATGTATTGGCATGTGCACAACATACATAAATCCACACATGATGATTTTTAGGGTTCTTAGAAATGAAAAGCGTGAGCCCGCTTCCTAATGACGATTCTCAGGGCTGCTGCATCTTTTCTACACTTACATGAATCAGAATAGAGCACTGAGTCGTATTTAGAAATCCCAAGAGGCAAGCAGCCTGTTTTGTACTTGGTCAAATTTACACTGTCCAGTTTAAGAACATAGCAAGTAAACCAAGGTATGAATTTGGTCAGATGGATCTCACATGACTTGGATTCAAGTTAGTTTATTGAATGGGATTTTAGACTTTTATACTTTCTTACAAACCATGCATTTCATTAATTTCTCTTTATTATTTCAGCACCTTAGAGCCAGAATAACAGACACATTAAGTCTTGAATGTGGTTAATCAGGACCACAGTCGTCAGTCCTATGGTTCCAATTGCTTTAGAATTGTTGGTATTTTCCCAGAAGGAGAAATTCAAGGAGCTCTAATGTGTCTGTTAAATGGGATAAACTACCATTTGTATGTGACTTTGAGATGACGGGGAAGTGTGTGTGTGTGTGTGTGTGTGTGTGTGTGTGTGTGTGTGTGTGATGACGGGGAAGTGTGTGTGTGTGTGTGTGTGCGTGTGTGATGACGGGGAAGTGTGTGTGTGTGTGTGTGTGTGTGTGTGATGACGGGGAAGTGTGTGTGTGTGTGTGTGTGTGTGTGTGATGATGGGGAAGTGTGTGTGTGTGTGTGTGTGTGTGTGATGACGGGGAAGTGTGTGTGTGTGTGTGTGTGTGTGTGTGTAATGACGGGGAAGTGTGTGTGTGTGTGTGTGTGTGTGTGTGTGTGTGTGATGACGGGGAAGTGTGTGTGTGTGTGTGTGTGTGTGTGATGACGGGGAAGTGTGTGTGTGTGTGTGTGTGTGTGAGATGACGGGGAAGTGTGTGTGTGTGTGTGTGTGATGACAGGGAAGTGTGTGTGTGTGTGTGTGTGTGTGTGTGTGTGTGAATTACTAGAAGTCATTTCACTAACACTAACTCTATAAGAGTGTAATTTTCATGAAAATTCTAGTTATGCTTACATTGGAGTTTTATCCTAGCTTTTTGAGAGTCATTTCTGTTAGATTATTAAAGATATTTTTGAGATATCCTTCTACTTCCTTTCACTGGCTGAGTAACTTAGGCATTAGCATATATTTAGTCACATGAAAGGGCCCAGAAGCCAAGGTTTTTATTTCCAGGTTGTTGGTGTCCTTATTTAATCATTACTTAGGAGCTGCTATTGAGAATGCAAGCATACTCCAAGACGGCACACATTTCCCTGGCTATTAAGCTATGTATTTATATCAGAGTTTACAAAATAGTATCATGGACATTATCTCATTCAATTCTTGCAAAAATCCTGTGAGATGAAGGCAGGGAATAGGTATTATTCCCATTTTACATGAAGTGTAATTTTTGGAATGTTTTATAGACTATAAATAGGGTCACCATACATTATGCTTTTGTCTGGGACAACCCAAGTTATGCTGTTCTCGTGTAATTTTTAGCATCAACTTCTCTCAGTATTATGTTTGGATGACAGATACTATGGTCCCTAACAATCTATAAATCACTTTTCACTTGTATTAGGCTTTCAAAATTCATGTAGTCTGTGCAAGGCAATATGATAGCTCATGACAATAAGAGACAATCAGAGATACAACCTGGTTAAGGGCCTGGGCTGCAAGCCCAAGACACAACTCTACTAGTTGTACATCCTTAGGCTAATTACTGTCACTGAGTAAGTGCCAGGTAATCATTTCTTGTGTTTGCTGCTTGATCACATGGCTTCTTCTCATTGGCGGCATCTTCTTGTTCAGATAGAAGTCTTTCTCTGAACAAATGCCCAGGTGCCCAAAGAAACATCCCTTGTCCTTTTTTATGAGGAGTCCAGCCCTTTTCACTCCTTCCTGAATGACCTCTGCCATCCTCCTCATAAACCAGTAGTGACCTCAGCTTCTGTGGTTGGTTGACACACTTTTGTCCCTGTGCTGACCTTAGAGTCATAGGGTCTGACAGCCTGGCTACTATTCACAAACATCTGGACTCTTGGCAAGGCAAGGTTCCAGCCTAAGTTTCAGATTGATATTGGTACCAAACATGGATGCATTTACTTCCAAACTGGACACTTCAAGAAAAAAAAATTCCAAAATTCCAAGGTATTTCAGATGACAAGAGTGCCCTGAAGAGAGTTGGCCATGGTCTCACTCACATGCATACACATTACATAGCACCACCAGGTAGTCTTGAAGGTACAATTTGAAGATTCTTCAGGAGCCTGGAGCTTTAAATTACTCCAAACCTCAGGGGGTATGCATAGCAAGAAGAATAAATATTGCTTTAGAAAAAGGTTTCTAACATTAGAACTAGATGAGGTCTGCTCTTGGCTTTGCTCTTTACCAGTGTGGGACATTGAGGAAGTCTCTTAATTTTCCTAAACTCCAATTTTCTCAACCTGTGTATGGAACTGTTAATATTTATGTTTGCCTCTTAGGATAGATGTGATAAATGAGTGAAATAATGAATGTAATATTTAGCATAATCCAAGAACAAAGGTGTTCATTGAATTTTTGTGTAATGTATTGTAGGGATTATGGGGATTGTTTTACTCTACTTTCTGATTCTACTGTTATATCTGAAAGATTCATTAAGGAATACTTGACCAAATGGTTTTAATTAATCTTCTGGATTGGCCTGTGCTGTGGGACTAACTCCTTCTACCAGGAGGTAGTGACTCCAATTCTTGATGTCACTTGCAGAGAGAACTTGTAAGTCCTCTGCTGAAGTGCATGCCATTCTCCATCTTTAGGTCCCCTGTTGCCTGGTTTTAAGCTGTGGTGTCCCTTGGGACACACAAAGACTTTAGAGATGGGGATAGGAGATAGGAAGGAGCAACTCGGGTTAAGGCAAGACAGACTGCGTTTCACACAATTTATTCAATGCCCTTTAAGTTGACAAACTTCTCACCCAGGGAACTCTCTGTGAGTCTGGTTGGACCACATAATAGAGCCAGTGTGGGATGACCAGGCAGGAGAAGGTGAAAATAAACAAGAGGATGTGTGTCTTAGAGGAAGAAATATATTCTTGACAGATTAGGTAGGAGGCATGAGGTACACAGAAAGCCACAAATTACCAGTGAGGGAACTGAGAGCAATGAACTACTGCAGAAGGTAATGGCACTCTGATAAAGACATTTCCAATGTAGGAGCATGCTTTGCTTCACACAGAATATTCCACCGTTAGACTGCTTTCCTCTGTTGCTCCCCCTGTGAAACTGAGCAAGTTTCCTTCAGATACATCTCATGAGAAGGGGGCTTTGATTGGCGTGGCTGTATTCAGGTGGCTCCTCCTTCAATGGTAACTGAGGCTGGAAATACTTCAAGAGATCATTTGCTTTACTCTAACAGAAAGGGTGGCTGCAAAATCAGAAAAGGTAAATATTTTACTTCTACCTCTTTTTGAACTATTACCCACCAATCTTGACAATTTGATGAACTGTAATTAACACATACATGGATTATAGTTTTATTTTATTGTGTATCTTTCATAGTCTCTCCATGTCAAATGCAATTCCCACCCTTTCTTTGCCATACTTGGTGAGAAATAATCATCAGTTCTGGATGACTATGGGGGAATTAGAGGCTTATTCTGTGAGGAAATGGACCCAGTTAGATTAAATGCACTAGGAAAAATGGACAACCTAAGGAACAGCACAGAGAAACATCTTATAGACATTACTATCCTTTTAGTTTCACAGTATATTTAATTTCCTTTAATAATATTCTTTAACTACAAATTATATATCTTTTTTGAGGGGAGAAGAAGGCAGGAGAGGGACTGTCACAGTGAATCTAAACAGTGATAACTGTCACACAGCATAGAGTCTTACCATATAATATGAACAAGGTGAGGGCAGAGCAACTGACCTAGAATATTTTAACCCTCATGGCTTAGCACAAAGCAGGAACTTAGTGAATGTTTTGGGTGATTTTATAATGCAAGCAATTGCTGGTTTGGCTTCTTACAAGTGCAATCTTGTACCCAAAGATATTTACAGGTTAAGAATGCAGGACTACCCGAATGCAGTGGCAGTTTTAAAATCCTGTCGTTTAAAAAAAGTACTTGATTGTCTCCCAAACAGAATCTCTCCAAGCTGCTTGCGGGGCGATGCTCTGCTCTCCCAGAGGGGCCTGGCCTGCTTTCTGCTCCTCTTTGCAGAGCACGGGGAGGAGACGGGGAAGCCAAAGCGTTGAGAAGTCAGTGAGAGGAAGGTTACACTCAATCTTCCAAACTACACTTGTTCATCCATCGTCCTAATGAGTCACCCTGAAGGCAGGCAAACATGGGGCTGAGAAACACTGTCTGTACCTCGCGGGATAAGGACTCAGGACAAGACTGGCGGCAGAGCTCAGAGTAAGAGGGAAGAAATCTCGTCTTCAAAGGTCCTCTGTACTCAGGTGACCCTGCTATTAAGTTGAGTAAAATTTCAGTGTTAAAATCACTTATGAGTTCTACAGTAGTGAAATGAAGGGCTCCAGAAATCTAGGTATACTAGCAGAGGGAATGATTTGGGCAGATTATGATGAGGAATAACTGAGGGGTGTGAACAGAGCCTATGAGACCTTACGGTCAAGTACTAACATCATCTTAGGTTTCACTTAAATTATTTAGAATTCTTTTAAGACTTTTTTTTTTTTAGTTTTAAATAATATGTAATAAAACAGGGTTATTCACTTGGAAATTGATTTTTTAATCAAACTACAATAAAAAGTTTAGGTACAGCTGTATAAGATTAGTTCTTTAAATGATACATTAAAATCATGGCCAATTATGGTGCATGATGTTAGCAAAGAAGTTCAAAGAATGTGCTCTGCATGGAAAGGAATCGGCCTCTCATGCATTGAGCACAGTAGGCCTTTCTGGAGGGTAATCTGGTAACATGTACTACAAATCTCAAGATCACAGTGGCCTCTAACTCAACATTCCTCTATTTACAAACTTACCCCAAGTAAGTAACCAATAATGCATGTGAGAAGATTTGTCTATAAGAATAGTTCATTTCAGAAATTATTTATAATAGCAAAAATGTGTGAACCAACACATGTCAGTGGCAGGGAAGTGGTTGAGTGAGTCTGTAGTGATGGGACACCAGGCAGCCATTACAAGTGAGGCTGTAGACAAACATCTAATGACCTGAGAAAATGTTCATGAGATCGTGGTGCACAAAACCAGCAGCTTCCAAAAGAGCATTTTCAATGTGATCACCTAAAAACATACAGGGTGCCTTAAGAGAACCTGAAAGAATCTATCTCAGAATATTAATGAATAATTTAAATTTATTTGTTGAATTTCCTAAACTTCTGAAGTATTCTTCAGTTAATCTCTGTTACTTTATAATCAGAAAAATACAATTACAAAATGAAAAGCATTGTGTATTGCATTATTTATACGTACTCAAGATAGAAAAATTGTGTCAAAGTCCATCTCAATAACAATCTAAAATTTTAGGAAAATACTTGGACAGTGAAATGTCTTTATTTCTTGGAATTGCTTATTCCACTTATTTGTAACTGTCCATTTTTTTTTAATACAATGTACTCGTTTGCTTCATCTTACATAGTAAAAGGTATTTAATATCCCCAAAGCTTCTAAATATTTACATATTGACAGAAGAGATATTAGCTGCTTGGGCATGTTTACTAAAGAGATAGACAACAACTCAAAGAGCATAACTAAGCCCGTCTTTTCATGCTTCCACCCAACGCCCACAGGCACCTGCTGGAAGTGGGGGGCAGAGGGGAAGTCAGGTCCCCTTATAAGGGAGTATGCAAGGGGAATCCAAGGCAGTGACGGGGACAGAGTAGAGCTGACGTAGGAAGCAGAGGGAGCCAGAACAGGCTTGCCAACTGAGTGTACAGGGGAAGGGGGCAACCAAGATGACTCCAGAAATAAACTGAAAGCTGTGCCCATGCATCATTCATTAAACTCAAGAAACAGCACTTTCCTCTTCCCCGGCTTGCCAAGAGTTTGGATTTATCTTATTGTACTTTGTACTTTTCAACCCACAGTATTTATTGAGAGCCGTTCTGTGCAGAGGACTGTACTGTTATGACAGTACATGGGTATGATGACCCCCAGCCCTCAGATACTTACAATCTAGTCAGGTTGAATGACAAAGCCTCAAACAATAATAAAGATCATATTAAAATATGCAACATGTTTCTTTCATTTCTTTAAATCTCCCCCAGTGCCTAGCAGAATGGTATTTAAATGTTAAATTCCAATGTCTTTCAATACCATCTTAATTATTTACTGTTCCAAAAACATTCAGTAATTTCTATGATTTTTAATTTTATTATATCTAGCATTTTTCTGACATGAAAAATATTTGCCTTAATAATTGCCTTATATAATTCAAGATTATATAATTTGACTATTCATTTCATTAATACAAACTTTTCTGATAGTTACATGCTTCAACATATGTCTAGGTATAAAATACCTCTAGCAATGTTAAACCCAAACCCAACAACATCTAATAAGAAACTTGTCTTACATCCCTTTTACTTGGTTCTTACACCAAAGTTGAATGATATGTGTAAGTGAACAACATTCCCTACCCAAACACACAATTCAATATCATCTTTCTAAGTAGAAAAAATATATATACAATACATATACACCTCCTTTTTTATACTCATTTGAGGCAACACAGACAGTGTTAGTTATTCACATATCAATGAATTCATTTGGATCTTTGAATACGTGGGCTTCAAATTCCATTTGGCTCTGTAAAATAAAAGTGCTAAAATTAGTACAGGCTTACGAAAAAAGGCAGAACAAAACAAGATATTCCGTATGTCTCCTTTGAAGAGACACAAGATAACAACATCAAGAACTTGTGATGGTCATGCATTTTCTGTTCACTTACAGATGGTGACAGTACAGATTATATTCCAAGTACAATACTTAGTGTGGGGCTACAAGATGAGCAAGACTACACGACCCAGATCTTCAGGAGCCTCCAGTCTAGTGGCAGAAACCATCCAGAAACTGATGAGCTTAATTCACTGAAGTGAGGGCTGCAATAAAGTAAACACACGGTAGACTCTGGGAGGCCAGGAGGACTAATTATGTCACAGCCAGTCGGTAACAGGTAGCAGACATGCTTCCTAGAGCAAGAGAAGCTGAACAAACAGTTGGGCATAGGGAGGGAATGTAGTCTATCTAGTAAGACAAAAACCCAAAAGCTGGATGCTTGGGATTAATAGGGAGAGTGTGGTGTGGTGACCTCAGCAAGAGCAGCTTCAAGTGTGGAGAGGAAGAAGTAATGGTAGTGTAGGTTGCAAATATGGACAATTCTTTCAAGACATTTGACTTTGAAAAACAAAGCCATTGGACAGAAAATAAAAGTAGTTGTGTAATTAAGGTAAGATCTCTCTTTTCCTTTCCTTCCTTGCTTCCTTCCTCTTTCTTTTGCTCCCTCCTTTCCTCCCTCCCTCCTTCCTTTCTACTTCTTTTTTTCTATTCCTTTCTTTTCCAAATGGGACAGGTTTAGACCTGTTTAAATCCTGATAAGAAAGTTTTAATAGTGAGGGAAGAGGCTGAAGATATAGGGTAAAAATAAAGCTTAATGATGAAGTAGTTCTTGAGAAGATGTAAGGGTCTAGATAGATCCAAAACTTCCCATCAGGCACTTCTGAGGTCTATCCATTCAGCCATCCATCCATCCACTGAACATGGTACCTACCATGTACTATGCACAGTATATGGGGCAATATGGTAGAAACAAGACCAAGTTCCCATCCTCAGGGAGCTTATATCTATATGGTGACACACACAGTAAGTATTTGAGTATATATAGTCTATGTAATGACAAGAACTATGAAGTAAGATTACAGAATAAAGGAGGAGGGTAGTTAAGATGGCCGATGGTATTTGAGCATAATGAGGAAATGGCACTTGAATAGAGACTGAATGAGATGACAGTCTGAGGCATGTGAAGGTCTGTGGAAAGGACCTTGTAACTGACCTTTGAGCTCGGCGTGTCAGCATTTTGAAAAACCCTAACTTAACTCTGGTGCCATGTCACATATAGAAATTTTTGATATTTGCAACCATAGTAAAACAAAGACTTATATTTTTGATATTTATTTTATATATTTAAATGCCATTTAACAAAGAAAAATCAACCAAAATAATGAGTTCGCGTGTCACCTCTGACACACGTGTCATAAGTTCGCCATCACTGTTCTAGACAGAGGCTATAGTAACTGGAAAAGGAACTAGGGAGGAATAGCAAGGTAGCTGGGGTAGGTCCAGGGGTAAAAAAGATTGAGGGAGAGTGGGAGAAGTGGTTCGAGAGAGAGAAAGGGGCCACTGTATAAGACTTCAGAATCCATTTGTGTTTTTAAATATACTGGATATTGTGAAGAATAGTCAGTATGGGGACAACAGTGGAAGCAAGAAGGCTAATGATCTAGGGTATGTGACAGATGCTGGCAACAATTTATGTTTGTGGTCAACAGACCTGTTGAAAAGAGGTTATATTCAAGGGTGCATTTTTAAGGAACAGCTAAAGGTGCAATTGGAGAAAAATTAAGGATTACTCCTAAGGTTTTGATTGATTAACTGAATATATGGGGTATCATTTATTGAGACAGAGAAGACGGGGAGGGGCAAATTTGGGGGGAAAACCAATAATTTATTGAGATTATCTATTGGATATGTTGAGTAGGCACCTGGAGATACAGACTAGAGACTGGGGGAAGGTGTATTGTAATATTTATATACCAAATCATTCTACCTGCTTAAAATTTTCCAATGAATCCTCAGGCACTCAAGACAAAATCCAAACTCCAAGCTCCCTTGGGATTGGCCCTTCTATGCATCTCCAGCATCATCACTCATCACCAGTTTCATACCACACCAAATACTCTTTGAATACAGATTCATTTCTCTCTCTTGTGCGTGTCATGCCTTCTCTTTGCTTAGATTATTCATTATTCGTCCCCATTTTGACCTAGCTGACTATTGTGTCCTTGAAGCCTAGCCTTCCTTGTCCCACCAGCCATTTACCAGTCATTTGATACAGCTGGTTTTGATGCGCTCTTTGTGAGCACCACAATATTCTATACATATCTCTATGGACTCTAGAACCAGGGGACCCAGGGTACTTCATAATTGTTGCATGAACTTGGACAAGTGGGCTAAACTCTTCAAACCTCAGTTTCCTCATCTGTAAAATGAGAATAATAATACTACCTACTTCATAGGGTTGATAAGGGAATTAAATGAGGTGATGTGGATGATAGTGCTTATAACAGTGGATGGCATAGATGAAACCCGTATAAGTCATTAACTATTATTATAATACTTATCATACTGTAGAGTAATTATTTTCATGTTGACGTTCCTCCTAAAAAATATGTACCCTTGAGCACTTCAATTAAGCCTTTCATATGTGCTTCTGGTCCACTGTAAGCTTCAATAATTGTTTCTACATAAATGAATGAGTTAATGAGTTAAACAATAGCATTCGGCCACAATAGTACTATAAAATGAACCATCAAGTTCTTCTTCAGTGGGCTTTCTCTATCTATAAGCTATTCTCTGTGGCTGAAGGTTATTTGTTTTATCCATCACTCACCAAACCAAGAAGACTTGGTTGTTGATCCTACATTATATTTTGGTCACTGTTCAGTAAAAAATAATACCTTTCTTCCTTTTTTAAATACCTACCCTAGGATGTGTTTTTTTGATTTTATAGAGAGGGAGAGAGAGAGAAAGAGAGAGGGAGAGAGAGAGAGAGAGAGAGAGAGAGAGAGAGAGAGAGAGAGAGAGAAGTGATAGAGAAACATTGATCAGTTGCCTCCTTCACATGCTCCAACCAAGGATGGGACCCATAATCCAAGTATGTGCCCTGACTGGGAATCAAACCTGCAGCCTTTTAGTGCCTGAATGGTGCTCAAATCCCCTGGCCAGTGTAACAATATCTTTCTTTACCTTTGGATCAGGTAGACATGGTCCAAAAGCTTCCAGTAGAAGAGTTTCTTCTCTCACAGCTTGTTCATAGTCTGAGAAGGACAGTTTCCCATCATGGTCATGATCCTAGGAGTGACCAGCCGTATATGCGTCAACATGTAAAATACTTATTGCAGATACAACTGTCTTTTCATGGTCAAGTGTTAGTGGAAAAAAGGTATTAGAGAAATGAGACTAGTTAAATTGTAATGAACTATCAATATTATAAAAAAAGAGCATAATCTAGGTGTTTGATTTCACCAAGCAGAAAACTGATAGTTACTATCATTTGAATTATTATTTTTATCCCACAATTAGCCTTTAACTTTTAATATAAAACTGTAAATTATACATATTTACCATTTTCTTAAGTGTTATTTCAACCAAATCTTTGATTCCTTCATCAGGGTCTTCTTCAGATGGCTGTTTAAGAAGGCTGTTCTTCAACATGTGGAACATTTCCTCCTTTGAAATGAATCCATCACCATTCAAATCAAACACTTCAAAGCAATCTTTTAAAAAATAGCCAATTAGGAATTTGATACTATCCTTAAGGTAACATTTGTTCTGAAAAAGTTTTCAAGACCAAGGTCTATATTGATGTTCTTATCAATGCCACAGGCCTTAACACAATCTAATCTCCATAATAAATGCTTAATGTTCACTTGTTGAATATATGCAACAATCCTTAGAAAAAATTTCATTACAATCAGCTATGGAGAAGCATGACAAGAGACAATAAGTTGGCATAATACTCCCCAGGTATTATGTTGAGTGAAATAAGCCAATCAGAAAAAGACAAGTATCACATCATCTCACTTATAGGTGGAATCTAATGAACTGATGAACAAAAAAGACCCAGAGACATAGAAACATGCAACAGACTGAAGATCCTCAAAGGGAAGCGGGGGGGGGGGGGGGGGGGTTGGGGGGGAGGGGGAGGAGTAGGGGGGAGTGATTAATCAAATAACTTATATGCATATTATGCAAATATGCATAATACATGGTCACAGACATAGTGTGGTGAATGCCTGGCGGTGGGGGGGATTGAATTGTGGAGGGGGTCAATGGGGGAAAAACAAGGGACATCTGTAATACTTTCAACAATAAATATAAATTTAAAAAAGAAAATTAAGGTAAAAAAGAAGCAATAAGTTGAAATTTTTCATCTTGAAACTCGTGGAAAACTGACTGACATATAATTCTTTTATTTTTATTTAAAAAATTTAATGTTGACATAATTCTTAAACAGATTTCATCAAAATTAAGAATTAACTAAGAATCAGAGCACTAGAATCAATATCCCCTACTTTTATGGTTATAATTCAAGTACTTAAATATGCAAAAACATAATCTTAAGACCTTTAATGTAAATGTACATATACATTATTAGCACCTATAACATGTGCTTATCTAGTCTTGCTTGACATGAATTACTCTTCAAAATCTCTTGATTTTTCTTTTAATGAATTTTTTTCAACCTTTAGCATTGACTTGGGAATTCCAACCAACCAACCAACCAACCAACCAACAGACAACCTACTTCACTGGCTGGGTTGGAAGAAATTGATTTAAAATGTTTTAGATATGTTAGGCATAATGTGCAAACCAGTAGGATAACCTGAAATCTTACATTTCATTTTTTCTTCCAAAGTTCCTCGAAGAAACAGTGATAATCCATATACCCACTCTGATACACTTACACAACCATCATTGTCTTTATCAAAACCTCGGAATACTAAAAAGAAAAAGAAGGGCAATGTAATACTTGTGGTGCATTTTTACTCTCAGTAATCTACATTGGTACTACTCACTTTTAAAATTTAAACAAAACTTCAGGATCATATGGTCCAACATTCCCATTTGACAAAGGAAGAAACTAACTTTCACATTTTCTCCTCATATTTTGTGGGAACAAAGTAAATTCTGAATATCTAAATATGTTAATAACTAATTATTAACATATAACTGTTGATATATTAAATGTGTTGCTATATTAACATAAAATATATAATTTTGTACCTTTGATACTCAACAAATGTAATGCTTTATTACATGGTAGACGGGACTATATCTTGATTCTTATTGAAATACTTTCAATGATGTAAAGAAACTTAAATGTCCTTTTAAAACTATTCTTCTTATTATTATATTTATTAAGTAAAAATAGAAATAATTTAGGTTTTCTGTTTTAAAGTAAGGGAAACCTAATTATTCAAGCTGACTCTGTCCACTTCTTAAATACACAAAATAGAGTGGATACTATTTCCATCCCTATGATCTTTTTCTTTTTAAAAAAATTTAATTTATTGGGGTTACATTGGTTAACACAATTACATAGTTGTAAGGTATATAATTCTGTAATACATTATCTACATATTGTATTGTGTGTTCAAACCCCAACTCATGTCTTTTTCCATCACCATTTATCCCCCCCTTAGCCCCCCTCACTCTCATTTCCCTTTCCTATGATATTTTTCTTGAATATAAAGATTTAAATTTTATATTTGAATGAAATTGGGAATATAGAACATTAAGGTTTTACAAACAGTAAGTCCAACTCAATAATTTTTTTTCAGTTATGGCTGGATTTGTATTTCTCCTTACCTCTGTCCATAATCATGTCATCTGTCATTCCAAATGTCACATGCAAGAAGTTTCTAAATGCATTACGATCCAGTCCATTGACCACACCTTGTCGCTCTATTATATCTCCCACCAAGTTATAATAAAGTTTTATAAGACACTTCACTTCAAATTTATTAACTGTGGAAAAATAAAGTTAAGATATAACAAAAATGTGTTTTAATCTTTAATTTCTAACTTAAATTTTGCATTAATGAATTTATAGACTAACATTTTAAAGCCATCAGATATGTAGCTGGCAGCAATCCTATGGTATTTTTTTAATCCTTATCCGAGGCTATGTTTTTACTGATTTTAGAGAGGGGGAAGAGAGAGAGAGAGGAGAGAGAGAGAGAGAGAGAGAGAGAGAGAGAGAGAGAGAGAGAGAGAGAGAGAAAGAGAGAGAGAGAGAGAGAGAGAGAGAGAGAGAGAGAGAGAGAGAGAGAATTGCCTCCCCTACACATCCCCATCAGGGATCCAACTGCAACCTAGGTATGTGGTATGTGCCCTGACCTGGAATCATCCCCAACCTTGTAGATTACAGGGGGTTATGGGTATGTTCCAACCAACTGAGCTACCCAGCCAGGGCAGAAGACATATCTGTTTTGAGATTCATGACCCTTAAGTTAACAGAGGATGGCTACTACAGAGGATTCTCCACTAAAATGAGAGAAAAAGCCTTCCCTCCAATATCCAACAGGTGCAAGTTCAGTCACACTTAGGAAAAAAGAAGACAGTATCAGTCAAGTTACCTGAATAATGATCATGGGGTCCAATTCTAAACTTTAAAAGGCAGTAGGGATATGATTCAAAGTAAGTACGGTAATGTTTAAGAATGCTAACTTTCCTTGCATTTTGATTACAGGCAATCATGAGACTTGTAATTTAGCATTCCCCTGGAAATAGATACCAGGCTCCTGAAAGTCAGGAGCCAATTTTTATTTCATATTAGCCTTAGTAAATCCATAATTGAGATTTTGGAAACTAAAATCACCCATTTTCCAATAAAAAAGTGTTTAAACATATTTTAGCACTCTTGTAGCTCTTATTGCAGATGAAATGAAATTAACATGCAATTATTCAGCAGTACTTTGAATGAAGGCAATTTATATTGAAAGGATACACACACATTCACATTTGTCAACACACATCATTGTATAAAGGGTGGTGTTTTTAAAGAGTGAGATAATTATTTGTGTTCCAATTCCCATTTCAGATATGTTAAGTGGAAGGGTTATTGCCTAGCATTAAGAACAAAAAAGTGAGTCCTAACCAATTTGGCTCAATGGATAGAGCATCAGCCTGCGGACTGAAGGGTCCCAGGTTCGATTCCGGTCAAGGGCATGTACCTTGGTTGTGGGCACATCCCCAGTGGGGGGTGTGCAGGAGGCAGCTGATTGATGTTTCTCTCTCATCGATGTTTCTAACTCTCTATCCCTCTCCCTTCCTCTCTGTAAAAAATCAATAAAAAAATATATTTTTTAAAAAAAGAATAAAAAAGTGAGTTTAAATATGAATTATAGGTAGAAGATGGGGATGAGTTTATTTCAAAACAAGACAGAGTATTTTTTAAAACAAGGACAAAACCTGCATGCATGTAAAAGAAGACAGAACATAGAAATGGAGAAATCACATCTAATCCTACAGGTCAGGACAGGCCTGAGTATGATTTCTGGTTTGGGATACCAAAATGTAAGAGGGATATTAAAAACCTTGAAAAACAAATGATATAGTCAATAAATTAAATAATAGACAAGAGTATAATGATTATAATTTTTAAAAGAGCTGTTAGTTGCAGTAGGAAATGGTATACCAGTTTGTCAAAAAGTTAAACACAGAAATTCTGTGTAATCCAGTGATTCACTTCTGGGTATATACCCAGAGAACTGAAAGCAGGGCCTCAAATATTTGTACACCAAGCATGTCAAACTCAAAGGCTGCCATGGGCCAAATAAACAAGGTTTAAGTTTATGTGGGCAGCAAAAAAAAAAGCTTCAATTTTCATAGAAACATAGGTTTATTTCAATAGAGACATGCTGAATAAAAAGGGCTGAAATAAATGAGTAATCGTTCACATAAAATAATGAAACATTTTAATAAAAATTAATATTTTTTTCTTGAACATTAACTTAACAGACACTGAATAACTGCACAAATTATTAAGCGTAATGCAAATAAACCTATTTTTCTTGTTCTCTGAAAGTGAAATATTTCCTGTTGCGCACATCAAACAAGTCAGTCCAAAACTAATGATGTGGCAATCATCTGCTAAAATATTTGCTTCTAGTATTAGTGGAGAGAATGGTGTGCCTGCACATAAGGCGCATAAGGGAAATGAATGCAACATGATTACAGTAATCAGGCATTAGCGAACGTTGTAGTTCGTTATTAATAACTAGAGGCCCAGTGCATGAAATTCGTGCACTGGTAGAGTCCCTAGCAGCTGCCGGCCGGGGCCTGACCTCCCTTCCCCTGGTTGGCTCTGCCCCCTGGTCGAATTCCCAGACAATTCATGGTTGAGGGGACAATTTGTATACTATGCTTTTATTATATAGGATTATGTATAACAGAATATTGTAAAAATTAAGTTACAAAATTTTTATTAAAATATTTCTTACATACCATTATATTGGCTGGGCCACAAAAAATATTCATTGTGGGCCACATGTGGCTCCCAGGCCTCGAGTTTGATATGATTGTTGCACACCAAAGATCATAGCAACATTATTCACAGTAGCCAAAAGTGGAAGCAATCAAGTGTCCACTGGTGAATGAATGGATAAAAAATATAGTAAATGCATACTATGGGTGATTATTTGGTTTTATAAAGGAAGGAAATTTTGGCACATGCTATAGCATGGATGAAACTTGAAAACTTTATGATGAGTGAAATAAGCCAAACACAAAAGAACAAATACTATATGATTTCACTTATATGATATACCTAGAGTGATGAAATTAATAGAGACAGAAAGTAGAATGGTAGTTGCCAGGGGTTTGGGGAAGTGGAAAATGGGGAGTTATACTATAATGGGTATAGAGTTTCAGTTGGGAAAGATAAAAATGTTCTGGAGTTTAATGGTGGTAACGGTTGTGCAACAATTTGAATAAATTGAATACACAGAGCTGTACAATTAAAATAGTAAAATTTAACCACAATTTTAAAATATTCTCAAAGTAAAAAGGCTGTTGGCTAGTTGGGAAAGAAAAGACTGCTTAAAGAATGACTATACAACATCCCCTTCACTCAGCATTTTATGTTTCATCTTTTCCATCTCGGCTGAAATAAAGATTAAAGAATATTAGCTTAATTTATTACCCAAGGATACAGGATTAGCCATAAGAAAACTTTTCTTGCTGAAATGTTTCTTAAGTTCTAGAATACAATACTAAATACAGTTAAGAAAAATTCAAGGATGGGCTTTCATTTTTTGGGGTTGGTTTGATTGTTCTTCAGATCATATCTGTAAAGTCGCAGATTAACTATATGACCACTGAAGATACTTTCTTCTCTGATTCCACAAAATTTATCCATTTAATCCTAATGGGATTATCATCTGCCAACTGAAAGGAAATATAACTTTAGGTGAAAGGTCCTCTGTTTAAAGGAATTTAATGTCAAGGACTTGAAACTCTTTCTATAGAATTTAACTAGTAATCATCCAAGTTTTTCAGGCTCACTTTAAAATGTTTATATAAGTACAAAACGCAAAAGAGTGTATCCTGCCATGTGTTTCTTTATCTTTTAATACACTCACCTCTTAATTATTCACAGAATGTCTGTTTGCAAACGTACTGAACAGGAAGCAAATTAAATTCAGCATTGTATATTGAAATTATTGCATTTTCTATTCAAAGTGTTTACCAGATGTTTTAGAGGGTGTGGTCTTCTCCCAGAAATGGAAGTATTTTAAGAAAAACAACAACAGAACAAACTCTCATCATATTATAATAACCATAATAATGCCTTAAATGACAGGATGACTATTTTTCTAAGAAGTTTAAGATGCTTATACACACTCTAATTTTCATTTACAGCACCACTCCACTAAGAGAGCCTTTCTTACTACTCATTGCATTAAGTACACATACAATTAAAAGAAACGAGATCCTGTAATCTCTAGAACTACATAAAAACACGTTTGTTCCTCCTTCTTTGCACAGTGGGAGTGGTCTTGGGATTATGTCTTCTTCTATTTCCACAGGTGGCCAGTAGTTTTGCAATCAGCATACAATTCATAAGCTTGCTCATTGGACAACACTGTCTTCACCTAAACCATGTCCTTATCTTCCTGGCCCAGGTACAGTTCTGTTTTTCAGTCTGAATATAATTCTAAAGTTACCTAGGAAATTCTAGGACCGCCTTTTAGAATGTGCCATTGGAGCAGATACCTTTAATAAGCGCTCATCTTGTCACTGGCAAAGTACCCTGCAACCCCACCAGCAACTGGAAAGTGGAAGCCTGGAGCTGGGAACAGATTCTTTACCATGTGTTTAGCTTCGGTGAGCTCTTTGGGCCCACTTCCCTTCCAGCTCTGACATAGGTTTGCTTCCTAAGGGTGTTCAGTCCTTGATAACCAGTTTCCCTTATGGATCTCTTGGTAAGTATCCGGTATTGAACCCTGTCATTTCACTTGCTCTAGAAAGGTAGAATGCAGGTGTATGTTGCTTGTGATACTTTTCTCGACTCCCTGGTTTTTAATAGTCACTTTACACCTATGACCGAGTCTAAAACCACATGTGTCTCCTGGGTATATAAATCACGTTTCTGTAATGTAAGGGTAAATTAAGAAGAGCGCTTGAGAAGCAAGTAAGTGTACTTGTGGGAGTGCAATCCTAGATGCCTGGACACCTGGATAGCGATCCTTAAGTTGATTGGCAGGCGTGGAGCCTGCTCCGAAAAGCTAACATCCAGGTATTCCCGTCCAGGCTTCTCTTTAAGGGTGGTGGAGGCGGCTCCAGGGCCCTAAGGCTGGGAGTTAGGAAGCAGGTTGGGCAGAAAATTTTACCACCCCGTAGGGCAGGAGACCTGGACCAGGAGCCTATGCTAATCCAGCACTTGATTCGTACTTACAATGCTTGCAATTTTTAGTTAAGGTGTCCGTCAACTTCTGCAACTTCTTGCGGTTCATGCCGCGCGGGCAGAGGCGGGTGTCTAGGGATGCGGCTGCCGGGACCCTCGCTGTGCCTGGGCCTGGGCCGGGGAAAAGCGCTCTGGGTCTCCATCGCCCCACACCTGCTGTGCTCTAACACACAAAGTGGCCATGGCAACGCCCTGGCCGGCCGCTGATTGGTTCCCTGGCGCGCGCAGTGTGCGTGCACCGCGCTAACAAACAACGTAGCCATGGCAACGGCTGGGCCAGCTTCTGATTCGCTCCTGGGGCTGGGGAGCGCGGCCCTACTTGGAGGGTCCTGGCCGAACACAATTGCGGACTGTGTTCTGATTGACGTCGGAATTCTGATTTTTCAGCTGTTGCTGTCTTTTGGGTTCACAGCACCTTTGATGGACTGCACGGGGATTCATCAAGGTCTAAAATATCTTGTGCACGCTGTGTGAAGGGTGTTTGGGGTGGTGAGCGTTGTACCCAGGGAAGCTTAAAATCTACTGGGAGATTTGGGGAACTTGGAGGAGCTTCCAGAATTAGCAGGTGTGTAATCCAGACGGTTGTTTTATGGGGTACAGAAGGGTGAGAAGAACTTGGAATAGGTTTTTTCTCTCCCTCTTCCCTCCCCCTTATTCTGGGGTGAGGCTGTCAGTAGAATCTGGGAAAAAGCCACTAGCAATTTTTAAGCTAGTTAAAGGGGCAGCCTTCCCAATAAACAGACTGACAACTGACACTTATCTGTGGGGTTGAGCCCAATCTTGCTTTTCTGGAAAATATTCCTTTAAGTAAAACTGAAGGAATTTTTTACTTATTTGACAGACAAGTCTGCAAACAAAGAATAGTTCTTACATCTTTAATGTGGGAAGGCTTTCTGCTCTTCTTAACCACAGATGGAACACCATCTTTGAATTAGGACAACAATAAAATGGGTTCGTTCAGCCAGTAGTACAAAACCTACAGTATTGTCTAGTGTATCTACTTGTTTAACGTTAGAGGGGAAATACCTTGGAATACGAATTATTTTATAGTATACATACTGTCATTGTTAGTCTGAAAACAGAAAAATTCTGCCAACCATGAGTAACAATCCAATATAAAATAGTTTCACCTGGCTGGTGTGGCTCAGTGCCTGAACATCGACCCATAAACCAGGAGGTCATAGTTAATGTGAATCTTCCAGGTCAGACACATGCCTGGGTTGTGGGCTCAATCCCCAGTAGGGAGCATGCAGTAGGCACCCAATTGATGTTTCTCTCTTATCGATGTTTCTATCTCTTTATCCCTCTCTCTTCCTCTCTCTCTAAAAAATCAATTAAAAAATAGTTTCAGTGTTGAGGTCTCTGATTTTTTCCTTGTTTTATTTATTTGTTGAATAAAAAATTGGGATGCTGTTTGACACCAGAGTCAATGATGCTTGGTGAAGGCAGGGACTGTATTATCCTAAAGAAAATTTCCTGCCAACAGTTAACCAATATATAATGATAGTGATTATGAGTTTCCAACAGTTTTCTGGTTAAATAGTATTCCTATATGTCTTCTTATCTAGCAGCTGTGACATTTCTGATGAGATTACAGACAACAACTGGGGAGAACTGGACATATTCTAATTACACTCACCTGTGAAACCATAGTGGCTTTTGTTAGATTATAAAATTGTAGGAAATATTTAATTCATAGAGGTTATTGTAGTGCTCATTTCAAAAGACATGGAGCCAAAAGAATGGTTGTCGATAGTTACAATAAAAGAAACTGTAGGTCTGTTTCTGCTTGTGGGTCTATTAAGAACCTTCCTTCTACTAGGTTTTCTGAAGGGACCTCTATTGGCACATCTTGGGGAGTAGGACTCCTCTGGTGGGGTCACAATGATGGGCCTCTTCAGGTATAACTGAAGATACACTCAGTGCTTGTTGGGGAACACCGATGGGTGAATTAAACAGTTCTTAATTCACAAGCTTCAGGCCTAGGACCCATCGACCATGTTCCCTTGAAGTGGAAAAAATGAAGTAAGGACAAAACCACGGAAAGTTGAAATTAAGGATCAAAAATACCCTGGCTGCTGTAGCTCAGTTGGCTGAGCACTGTCCATGCACCAAAGGGCTGCCAGTTCAATTCCCAGTCAGGTTCAATTCCACAAACCCACGTTATGGGTTCCAACACATGTATCGGGGTGTGTATGGGAGGCAACTGATTGATGTTTCTCTCTCACATCCACTTTAATGTTTCTCTCCCTCTGCCTTCCTCTGTCTCTAAATCAATAAAAATGTATTTTAAAAAAGAAACAAATCTGTTCTACCAAGCAGAATTACTTAACCTGCTAATAAAACTTTTGAGGTGTCCTCTTTACATTCTTCCTCCTTCCCATATTCTTTCATCCATGCTATTCTTTTAGCAGAAAATTTCCAAGCGCATTGTTCTATAAAACTCACTTCTCTGAGAGAGTGGCCTACAGAATTATACTTCCTATGAGGTCTTGAAAACCCTCAGGGAAAACAAGGTATTGTTTACAGGCAGTTTTGTCAACATATTCTCAAACTTTAGAACTTTCTTCACATTTTTTGTGAAGTTTTTGCACTTAGTATTTGCAGAGTTTAGAGACAAGAGGTAGGCCTGAGAGACTCAACTAATCACATTTCAAGGCAAATTGAAATTTCTATTCTCGTGTTGATTAGATATAGGATTGCTTTCCCCTCAGGGCTTTTTCAGCGTAAGGCAATTAAGCCAGAACAGTTACCTCATATCAAATCAATTGATAATGGAATAATAAAAAACTGTGTTTAATTTGTACTGTACACAAATTTTACTGTGCATGAAATGATCATAGAACTTTCCAAAATTCAAGCGACTTTGAGATGGTTACTTTTGTAAATGAAAAGTACATAAAAGTGACTATTAATGCTATAAATATTTCTAATTCTGTGTGCAAAACAATCTCCCCTTGGACTCACAATTAGTTGGAGTTCTGCCATGATAAATAATTTGGACCTTGAATTGATGAAAGTGTTTTATTTAATGTGAACCCTTTATGATAAAGGCATTTGGAAACTGTTTAGGAAATGACATCATAGAACTGATTTCCAAGTATATTACTAACCTATTATGAAATTACTTCAATAAAAGAAAAATATAAAGGTTAGCTATCTATCTATGCAATTTCAATTTCATTTAACCAGTTTTATTTTGTAGAGATAGTGATGAGAAGTTATGAGGTGATTTTAGGCAATTATTTGGGTGGTTGAATCTCCCCTGCTCTCTTACCACTTTTCCTTTTGGCTGCTCTGCTGAAATGACAGTCTGCTTTCAGTACCTCCAACCACCCAGCTGTCTCACCCCAGGCTTTCTGCATATTCTTCTCCCATCCCCAGAGGAAACGTGAGTTTTTGACTCCCCATATAAAGTGAATCCCTCCATACCCTGTGGTCTTTTCTCTGCCTCTGGACCAGTTTCTTTCCACTGCTTGTCACAGTGACTGACAGCTTTCTTTCTCTAATCTCTCCTCCCCCCTGGATTGTCAACTACATGACCCCCCCCCCCCCGTCTTCTTTTGTGCTCTCACTCTCACTCACATTCTGTTTTCCTGTGTTTATGTCTATTTGTATCTCTTATCTATCACCTATCCCAGTGGTCGGCAAACTGATTAGTCAACAGAGCCAAATATCAACAGTACAATGATTGAAATTTCTTTTGAGAGCCAAATTTTTTAAACTTAAACTATATAGGGTAGGTACATTGTTATTAACTTAATTAGGGTACTCCTAAGGCTTAGGAAGAGCCACACTCAAGGGGCCAAAGAGCTGCATGTGGCTCGAGAGCCACAGTTTGCCAACCACGGACCTATCCTTCTATACCTCTGAAGCTTGATAACACATTCCACTTTCTATTGTCTGTATTAAGGGAGAGTGATGGGAGAAATCACCTGAGCAGAGATGATCCTCCCTCACCACCACACCCCCGACCCCCGCCCGCCGCATAGCACCCCTTCATGGAGAGCCCTGTGAATACATACCAGGCCTGTAAAGGGGTAAGTACTAAAGAAGAGCTTGTCTCAAAATATACTGTCAATATTCACTGGTGTTAATACATTTCTACATAAGTTTTTTAAAGTCATAATCAAGAAGTAAGGTAAGTGCCTAAGGCTTACTAAGGATAGGATTCTTATATCTTTTTTTGTGGTGTGTTTTTTTAAACCTCACCAGAGGATATTTTTTCCATTGATTTTCAGATGGAGTGGAAGGGATAGAGGAAGGAGAGACACACATTGGTTGCCTCCAGCAATTGCCACATGGGGCTGGGGATCAAACCTGAAACCAAGGTACATGCCCTTGACCTGGAATCGAACCCTAGATCTTTTGGTCCATGGACTGACGCTGTAACTACTAAGCCAAACTGGCCAGGGAAGGATTCTTATATCCTACATGTAATTTATGAAGTTGTAAATTAAGATGTGGCATGCGAGAAGTAATTAATGTGATGCCAGTTATGTCAACGGGCTGAGTAAGGAAGCTGCTCCTCCCGGCCTTAAGGGGATGACCAAGAAATCCCACAGCACCCTCTGGGCTCCTTCCCACGGAGTGCTGGGTCATGGGCACCCAACTGCCCTATCCACATAACCACCACAGGGCCAGGAAGGGCCTGCCTCTTTCCAGGGAGCCTGGAGCTCCTGGTGGCATTCTGACACTACTCATGGCAGCTGTCACATACCTCCTACACAAAACCAGACCAGGCTTATCCTCTCACACCATGCCTGGCACTGCCGAGACCTCTGAAACAATGCCGACCAGAAAAGCGCATGTACCATCCAAATACTTGAGACCCGGCCCTTGTAACCACATTCCTTGCTTCCATTATTCTTGATCACCCAGAGAACAGGAAGCTCCCATAATTACTTTTCTCCAATGATCTTACCCCTTTAGGAGACTTTATTTTTTAGCCTAGATCTGTCTAACCCCTTTCAACTATACCCAACACATTTCTTTTCCATTGTGAACATTTACCTTACACGATCCATCTTTGCACAGGGCACCTCTACATTGTTCTTCTCTGAAACCTGTTTCTCCCCTAAAAATACTGCTTCTTTTATGATAGTCCATACCTACACACTCCCAGCCAGGAGGAAG